TCCCAAGATCCTTTCCTGTCCAAACGTATAATCACAGTTAGTCATGGCTCTATGAGTCTAGGAGAGGTATGTTAAGTAAAAACCCTACCCTTACCTTGACAAAGGATATCATTTCAACTTCATAATATACCGTAGAGTCGGGAGGGATAGTAGCCAAATCTGCTGAGACCCTGTAGCACCAAAAGCATGCTCTGGGTGGATAGTGATAAGTGCAACTTCACCTTTCTTCATGTTCCTCACAGCCCTGTCCAGTCCATCAATAACTTGCTCTGCATTCATCAGTTCCCCCAGTAGTTAGCGAGAAGAAAGCTACAAAAATTGAATATATCTTAAGAAAATGAATTTAAACACTGGAGTTGCTACAAACCTTCGTCTATCTTGAACTCAAATGGCGGCTCTTCATCGTAGCCCTTCTTCACAAAGACAGTGCCATCATGCAGCTTCCCAGTTAGCTTCACTGGATAAGGCAGAACAATTATCAATTACCAAATTAAAAGTATCTATAAACAGACATAGCTCCTGAAACACTATCGCGCTCATGTTACCTTGAACAACTGCTCCTTCATTTGGCCGTTCATATCCTTCTCCTTCCTTCAAAACCTTCTTTAGGACCTTCTTGTCCTTGGTAACATCAGTTACAGTCTTCCAAGAGACTAACTCCAAAGTTATTTCCAGGTTCGCATTAGGAGGTACGGCCCCTTCGCCACCTGATGCTGGTCTACCATTTTCGCCAAATGCATCTGCCGAAGGACACAATCAACCAACATAAATTCATCTGAAGTGAAGCATTTGATTGACATAGACATTAAAATGGCCTCGAGAATTTAACTAACACTGAGGCTTCACTGTCAGCAATACTTTCTCGCCTTTCTTCATCGTTTTAACGGCCTTCTCCAGTGCAGGACAGAAATAGCCTGTACACCAAAAAAAACAAATCATCATATAATTTCATGACTTGTCGAATCATTTTATCTAAATCTAGTAAAACAGATCATATTATAGTATCATGATTCCTTGACTCAATTATCAAACTTAAAGGACACTATACCTTCTGCAACAGTGAATTCCACTCCATCCGATTTCGAAACAAGTGTTCCATCTTCAAGACGTGCTTCATACCGAACTGAAACAGAGGAAGGATATATCATTACACGAATATTTGGTACTAATGAAACTCAAGCCATCAAAAAACAAAGTAACAGCGCAATAGGCATACCTAATACTTCATCCAAATCTTTAGGATTATCCCATTTCTCTCCTTCCACAAGTATTTTCTTGAATATTCCTCCATCCTTGCAGATGTCCTTAACATTAGTCCAAGACAACAACTCCACATCAAATTGCAGAGTCGCCTTGGGAGGAATGGATGGAGGGGAACCAGAATCTCCATAAGCCAACTCTGGTGGTATGGTGAAAATAGCCTTCTCCCCTTTCTTCATAGTTTTGATACCTTCATCCCAACCTTTAATCACTTGTCCTGCAGCTCCATAAAAGAAAATTCTCAATTCTGTAACTAATAAAGCCAATAATCTGTAATTCTCTCGTTGTTCTTAGTTATAAAAATTGTTAGAATCAAACGCAACAGAAAAATTGATAGTGCATGAGGTGATTTAGTTTACCTTGACCAAGCTTGAATTTGAAAGGTGCCCCCCTATCCCGGCTTGAATCGAACTTGGTTCCGTCAAGTAAGGTTCCAGTGTAATGCACTGCAAAATGAATAAGCAGCAAAGAGATCAAGTATTGATCCATCAAATAAAATCCGATTAAAAACACCAATTGATTATATCCACAATGGATCACCGATTGGTTATATCTGTAATAGATCAATTAATAGAAAACGGACCTTCGACTTCGTCGCCCGCGCTTGGCGTCTCCCAGCCTTCACCTTCCTTC